GAACTGGTTGTTCTTGGCGTGTGCCATCTCAATGGCCTTTGCGAACTTTTTTGGTCTTTCAAGCATAGGTGCCCAGCTTCTGATGGATCCACAAACCTTCCATGTACGTGCCTCTAGCCAAGGTGGCGTTTGGGAATAGTTTTCAGTAACAATAACCACCTCAACCCTCTGTTTCTTTGAGTCAAAGTCCTGCCCTGGTTGCATGTGTGCAATTCCCACAGAAGACAACAGAAACTGTGCTCATACCTCTGGGGGTCTAGTCCAAAGTGAACATTTTGGCATGTTGGCAACGGAGCAACATTTTTTTTATGCACAAAGGTGGTCTGTGCAGCTTAGTGGTATTATGGCTGTCACTGCTTGTCACTCCTTCCAGCACCATCCTGTGCTGTCACACCCACCCACTGCATCGCATCTTAACCTAGACCAGGGATTGGCAATATGCAGTCTGCAGAGCCATGGGATGCAGCCTGTGGAGCTGGAGGGGCTTCAGCAGTGAGTTGGCAGTAGGGAGCTTTGTACACACCAGTGCTGGGGACAGGCACCAAGGACTTGTGCCCGCCTCACAGCCTGGAAGCAAGAAACCATGGCAAGCAAAAGCTGCTGTGACAGCCAGGTTGGAACAACTGGAGCTGGATTACTCTTAAAGGTTGCCAGCCACATCTAGACTGTAAACACTGAAGGGTAGGGACTGCCCCCACCTTATATAATGCCCTCAATCATTGAGTCTTGATGGGTGCTATCATAATATAATACAGGCTGGGTGACCACTGTTACCTGATGTTGTAAGTAAACTGCCTGGGCCTTTTCAATTTGAATTTTCTCTCCCTGTTTTTTTTTCTGCGTGCTCTTATCAGTCTCTGCAAGTTTACAGCAGTAATATTTCAAAAACTTACTTTAAGGAAAAAGGGTTATACCTTCTTCTTGATCTTTGCACAGAACACTGACATCAATGGGGAGTCCGTTTGTGGCTTGAACATACAGAATATACTCTTTCAGAGGACGTTTTGAGGCTATTAGGATCAAAAAGTCATGTGAACTGCTCTGCCCACTGTGAATGGGTAGTATATTCTTCAGATGTTCCACGTTCCTGAACTTTTCTGATCTCTTTCAGGGCAGCCCTAATTAGTGCCAAATTCTGAAAGCACAAATTTGATCCTGAATTATTTATCACGTCATGTTTATAAAACGCACTGAAACGCACATCATGGCATAGCTCATGACAACTTCAAACAATATGATAAAAATTAATCTTTTCTGATGCCATACTCATCAATGTGAAAATATAATTATCTAGCTGAAGAGTTTCTTAAATTACATACTTTCAAACTGATACAAGTAGAATTTATCCTAGTGTTTGGTGTTAAGCCATACGGAAAGATACTGGCAGCAGAATTAGCAAAATACATGTTGGCTCTGGCTGTCGATCAATATTTCCAGCATACCCAACACCAGGGTCTAGATATCAGTTTCAACCCGGTCTGAAATTTTAACCTAATATTTTCTTCTTTGAGTGTTGCCCTAACCCCCTTGAAATCAATGGGAGTTCCACACATGGGAAGCTTGCAGGATTCAAGGCCTTACTGTGTAATGCCAGGTTACAGCCAGGTAGCAAGTGCATTGACTACTAGTAAAAGAAAAAATAAGTCAAGGGAGTACTACAGATATTACCCTTACCTTTCACAGGGGTGCTTTGCATCTGTATTGGTGGTACTTTGAGACACGGGTGCAATGCATGTGATTGTAAAGATGGGTATGAAGCACCTGTTGCAAGTTCCTCTGCCATTAATCCCAGAGTATACAACAAATGAGGATGAGAAACATGTTTCTGTGGAATGCTACACATGGAACGGTGTACAGCAGACGTGCAATAAAATGGTAAATTCTCTTTCCAGCTACCTCTAAAATTGTACCCGTTTCTGTACTTTGATGTACTTTCTTAAAATATTTGTTGCCTTTAGGAAACTTTAGCCAAAACCCCTATAGGAATGACACACCTGATAACCAGCAATAATGCACAATGGGTTTATCAGCTTGATATATGGATTCACTGATAGTGCAAAGGCTCAGTGGAAGCTGAAGGCCTCCATTTGCAGATATTTAGGAGGCTGACTGAGGAATGAAACCCTCAGAACATGTAATTGAGGCTTCATTGGCTTTTCCTATGGACACTAAGCCGCTGCGCTGATGGTTTTACTCAATGGGAGCATAAGAGATGCACTGGTTTAAGTCACTAATGAAGTACTAGAGTTTTGGGATCCCAAGTGTGCTGGTTATTTTCAGGTCCCCCCTTTCTCCAAGCCTTCGTTCTACTTCAACTTCTTAGGAGGGCAGCTGACTTCCCACTGACACTGGAGTCTCACTGGCACAGGTTGGGACCTCAGTCCCATTGGATCATCAAGATGACCAGCATCCTCTAGGGCAGTGGTGGGTAATTATTTCGGGCGGAGGGCTACTTGAGTTTTGGCAAGCCATCAGGGACTGCATGACAGGCAGCCAAGGGCAGATAAATATTAATTTTCTAAATTTTTTAGGGGCCCCACGGGCCAGATAGAATGGCCTGGCGGGCTGCATCCGGCCCGCAGGCCACATTTTGCCCACCCCTGTGCTAGGGCCTCACAGCTGTCCCTCCTCTGCTTCCATGCAATCAGGAGACTTGACTGCAGACAGAAAACAGTCCATAGCAATTTCACCTGCTTATGATGGGACAACCTTAATTTCTGAATCCATGCATTTGCTCTGGGCTTCCTTAGGTATGCAGGTCCCAGGATCCCAAGTTGACAAATATCTCCCAATGGAGAAAGCAGTTTCATAACAACTCCGCCTCCTTCCCAAGAAATCTCCCCTGAGAAGGGAAACATCTAGATCAATAATGCAACTTTAAACCACACACATTTCATACAGTAGCTTAGTAATTTTACCTGTCCAGCCAGCAAGACAGCAGCAATAACCAGTGACAGGATCGCACCCATCTGCATGGCTACAGTCACAGCGCTCACTGCAATTAAGACCATATGTTCCATCCTTCCAAAAACATAAATAAAAGAAAGTCTCTGAGTAATCAGATTTTGGTCCTAAAATGTGCACAGTCATCTATCATGTCCATTTTAATGCAATGTCACACTTTTTAAAGTAGCATGCTACCATCAGAGTAGAAAAACTCAATAGCTAGCATTTCTACACAGAACTAAAGTAAGAACAAAAAAACCCAGAGGCTTAAGACAATGTAGATTACATGATCCTCTGGTAAATTGGGAGCGTGGAGTGCAAAGCAGAACTCATCTCCTTGACTGATAGCACTTCAGTCTTTTATTTACAGAAAACTTCCCTTGTTACTTTCTTGACTCCATGAACTGATGCAATATCAATCTACTGTACTGAATTTTCAAAAACACCTTATTTGTGAACGGCAGAACGAAGGATGAAAGATCTTTCCTTGTAGTAGGTAACTGAGTAGCAGCAGCTATGGAGCGGTCGGAGCATGCTCCTTGTTCTGTTCCCTGTAGGTTGCTAAAGATTTTACTTTTGGCTTCAGCTGATAAGCAGCAGAACCTGCTCTTACCGTATTTCTCACATATGATGCTCACTTCAGTTTCCAACAGCTGTTTTTTGAAGGAAAAATTGTATGCTGTATGCAAGAAAATATATCATCTGGGATCGCTAGTGAAAAGCAATGTAGATATATTACAAGAACACTTACAGGGCATGGCTGGTCACAGTACTCCCCCTGCCATCCAGGTGAACAAAGACAAAAGCCATCCACTGGGTTGCAAGCTGCTCCATTGGCACAGGAACACGTCTGGTTACAGTTCAGACCCCAAGTTCCACTTGAACATGGAATGGAGCAGTCGACCCCCTGCCATCCTGAAGGAACATGGAAAAGCAGCACTGTGTGCAACATTTCCTCCACTGGCACTTCTGGGAAAAGGAGTGTGGAGCAAGAGGAGGGCACCGATCCTATGAATCTGTTGCAAAGTGCCCAGTTTTAACCTGTTTTGTAGGCAAGCCTAAGGACCCATTTTTGTAGGGTGCCATGAAGGGGGAAGATCCCAGGGAGGAGGGCACATCAGTAACAGTTCTCCGAGTCCAGGATGAGTTCTGTGCAGCCCCTAGTATATGTTACAGAGGTCTGGGTTAAAGTGGGCTTTCTGGGTATGACCCAAGGGTCTATGCTAGGAGTTGTAGGTGTGTGTGTGCTGGGTGGGAAGAGACACAGGAGACAGCTCTAACTGGTCTAACACCTTTCTGGACCCAGAACTAAGGAGCTGGAGTGGGGTGAGAACATACAATAGTGAGGCTCTCTGGCCTCTGGAATAGCTGCTACACAGCATCAACTCATGAGCCACTGTGTGACTGCCTGATCTTTACAGCTTACTTTTGTGGAGATGCTCTTTAATATACAGAAGCTGTTACACCAAAGGTAAAAAAAAAAAGACTGAAACCTAGCCATTAAGGCTCAGATCTTAACTACCAGGCGCACCCTGACATTCATTACACTGCAGCTGCATGTAATGGAGTTTAGCAGTAACTCATAGTTTATGCACTGTCGTTAAACAGAGTTATACAGTGATTAATTAATTCATGTTTGAAATGCCAGATTTTATTGTTATTTGCTACAGTGCTGTTTTAGGGCTCAAGCAGGAAACACAGCCCCCGCTGCCTGCCAGGACAATAAGGAGATGCCAGCCCCCCACCCCAGCAGAGAGATTCTAGGGGTTCTTACCTTGCTGAGGCAGAGAGGTCCCCATGCAGGCTCCCAGAGCCCAGGCGTGTGTGCATGCAGAGGAGGTGCAGCAGCATGTGGAGGGATGGGTGTACGGGAGGGGCCAAGCACATCACACCCCGTCCCATGCTCAGGGAAGCACCAGGCTTGCAATGGCAGCAGCCTCAGCATGCAGAGAACCGCGTGTGGGAACCTGCTACACACTGCACAGAGCAGTGATCCTCAACCAGGGTGCCGCAAGATCCTTTTAAGGGTGCCCCACAACATAAGCTCTGCTGAGTGGGCAAACACCTACACGATTCACAATACAAACCCAAAGATTTCAAACAGGAATCCATACTGTCAAAACCATTCTGCTCCGTCATGGCTTTGCTGAGCAAAATGCAACAGAAGAATTGCTCTAGTATTTTTCTGTAGTCAAAAAATGATTGAAAGCTGAGAGCCGGCATTTTCTGAGAGATGCCAAGAGACTAATCAAGTGATGTCTTGTGTTTAAAATGGTTGAGAACCACAGTCTTGGCATAGCACAAGACTGTCACAGGCCTCACTCAACTGCCCAATGGAGTAAAGCGAGGGAAGAAGGCGCCTTCACTCCCTGGCTCTTCTAGCTGTTAGGGCACAGCAGAGCCACCTCCTGGGTTGGTAGGAGGGGTAGGTAGGAGTAGGGGGTGTGAGGAGTCCTGGCTTGGCCCCTTCTCCTTTGCCAGCCAGGGAAGGGGTGTGGTGCTCTGAATGGCAATCTATGCTCGGGGCTGCTCCTGAGGCCACATCTCTGTTCGTGGGTTCTCACTTGGGACAGACTGTGAAGATACAATCTAGCCTGTAGTACACCGTGGCAGTTCAAATGCTTTCAGAAACACACAGGGGGCACTTCACTGATTTACAACGGGCGCAGCTCTGGGATGCTGATTGTACCCCTCTGCATATTTGCAAAGCAAACTGCAACTTGTAGTAGCTGCGCTGCTGCTGCCTAGAAGAGAAAGGAGCGCTGAAGCCACCCAAAGCAAACTGCTGCCAACCGCTATGACTGCATTTTGTTTACCTTCTTTGCAAATGCACAAGCCATCCACGGGGGAACAGGCACCATCGTTTTTGCAGTTACAAACTGACGAGCAGTTGGCTCCATAGGTTCCAGCCAGGCAAGTAATAGAGCAGTCATCTCCCTGCAAACCACAATGAAATCACAGTCAGCTAGAGCAGTACGGAGAGCAGGAAATTCTCTCTTCATAAAGCAGCTTCCACTTTCCGAAGGTACATAGTGTACTAAGATTTGATAGCTTAGTCTTCAGTGCTTGAACAGCTACCATTGCTTCCTATGATTATGATGCAATTAGAGCTTTGATTGACTCGGAGGAAAGGGACCCGTTTTTGGCAGCCGTTCAGGGGGAGGTGTGGAAGTTACAAAAACAAACCTCCTAGAACAGATGTTAGATCATTAAGCAAAACATCACTTACAAAACACTAATCACAAAATAGACCGAGTCAGAAACTGCGCAAAGCTAGGTCGCATCCGAGCTGGGGAGGAAAACAAAAAAGCAAAGGTTTTCTCAGTAGCTGGAACCAAAAGGATTTCTTGTGTAAAAATGTTAATGCTGTATCTTCCAGTGTATAAGATGCACCTGTGTTGAAGACCCTCCCCCCTACACCTCCCCCTCCACAAAATGGATAAAATTGAGGAGAGAAAGTTTTTAAGAAATAAAATAATTGAATTTGGTCAGCTTTTATTACAGTGATTTTAGCTGTTTTCTGTTACAAAGCTTCAGCATACAAGATGCACTTTAATCTTAGATCTCCTTTCTCAGGGAGAAGAAACTCATGTTCTACACCAGAAAATATGGTAGCAAAGTGCTTGGGACTTCCTTCTTGATGCACCAGTGGCTAGCCTATCTGTCACTCGTCGTCCTTGTTAGTAAAGTTAGGGTGAGGTGGTGACTTTAGGCAGAGCCTGAAGAAGAAGTGACACACAAACTGGATAGGGAGGCAGTGGGATTCACAGAGGCCCCTCCTGGGCACAATACTGCCTCTGTATCCCCTTAGCCCTCCAGAGAAAGCGGGAGAATCATAGCAAGTAATATGGCCCCATGCCAGATCCAAATTATGGTACCTGGGCTCCAGCTACACTGCCACCTAGGAGTGGCTCTGCCCTGTCCCTTCTCAGATGGTGCGGGAATGGAGTGAAATGGTGACCAGGTCCCACCTTCTCCCATATGCCGAGCCCCAAGGTCTGGGTTGCCCCTGTAGGTGCATAAGAGGAACACTTCCACCCTTTCACTCCATCATGCATGCCTTTCGTCCAAGTCGCTCCCTCACTCCTAGACATCACTTTTTCAGCAAACTGTATTAGAATATTTAGCTCTAGGTCAATGAAAGCCACCATCTGAAAGACTTCAACCCTGACCACAAACTATGCTGTCACCCATAGCTTATTTCGAGGTGGAAGGCACAGGCGGAAAACATCATCTTTGATGGTACCATTCTTTTATCAGCAGATACCAGTGTACAAACTGTCGGCTCTCCAACATCATACGAAGTACCAGCTCCCTCAGGAAGACTGTGTATTGCACTGCTAAGCAACAAATAAGGCAGTCAAAGAGAATGTGCTCAGAACTCCACATTCACATCTGGGGGTTGCAGCAGCACTGGTGAGCAGCAGCGTAAGGTTTTCCATCATATTATTCAGTGGAAACCTTGTTTGCAAGTGATGCTAACATAAGCCACAAGAATGTGGCTCAGTCCAGAACATAACATAAGAAGTGTCAGACTGGGTCAGACCAATGGTCCATCTAACCCAGTGCCCTGTCTCCAACACTGGCAGAAGTAGATACTATACAAGGAGAGCATTGAACCAGGGATCTCTTGAGTGATCTACCCACTATCCAATATCCTCCCTAGCATTCACCATTTATTGAATTAGAGAAGCCAGAGGACACATCTCCAACCATTCTGTTAAGAAGCAACCCCACGGTTTTCTTAATTTTGAGTGAATGTGGCATTTATAAGAAATGTTGGCTTTGACCTCAGCAGAGAAATAGGCAAGGCCTCCCCAGAAGGCCTGGCTGTGAAAGGTGCTGCCTTGGTTATTAAAAGAGCTTAAGGTACTCAATTTACCACCACTGCCCTGCTAGGGTCTCTTCAAACTAACCTGGGAAAACCAGGAACTGATCTGGACATTAGTGAGACATTCAGTCTCCATGCTTAATCAAACCTTGACCTTTCAGTCAAGTGTGACAATGAGACAGCCAATTAGTGCCACTCAGGGAGCTGTTTGTGTGTGTGCTGGAAGCCCGAAAGAGACTTCGAACTCATCTGACATGGGCCGTGGAACAGCCAGTGGTCACTAATCATTTCTGATGACTGCTGACCTGGGTTGGATTTGAACTAGTGATCAAGAAGTTAAAAAAGCAGTTTCCTTTCAAAAGCCGGGAACTTGGAGTTCTTTATAGTCCAGCATTTGCTCAGCCCATGCTGGCTACACAGAGCTGGTATGTAAGATGTTACCTTGCAGGGTACAACAACAAAGACAAGAGGATGGCATAGAGATGGCTCCACCACTGGGCCTAAGTGCATGCAACATCTCTTTGCTCCAACAGTTCACTGGATACTACAGGGCAGATACTTCATGGGTGCAAATTCCCTGTACTTTCATCAGTTTGCAGCACTGAGAGTCTGCCTTGATAGCATTTCCTCACCCTAGGAACAGGGGCATAGTGTTTATCAAGCACTTTTGGGTCCTCAAAAGACAAGTGCTATATAAGAACCAAATTACGACATTTCAGCCTTTACTCAGAATGTCTTTGGGAAGAGACATCAAAATGGGATTTATTTTAAATCTACTGTATTCTCTGGCTTAACAGAGTTGGCCATTCATTCCTTCCGCCTCTTATGTGCTTATTGTCTGAACAGCCCTGATTTAAAATAAAGAATCCCTAGCTGGCTTAATGAGATTTATATCCCTGGTTATAACTAGCTAGACCTTCGCAACTCTGTCTGAGTGACAACTGCCAAATATGCTTAACTTCTTAATTATATAATAGGAAGATGCACTTGAACTGTAGCACCGGCTCCAAGATATTATTAATTATAAATGCAGAACCAGTTATTAACATTTTGAACTTGATTTGGGAGAATGACCTATGAAATTAAATACATGCAGGTACTGTAAAGATTTTTAAATACCATCTCCCCCCTCCTACCTGCCGTGCCGGATAATGTTGAAGTATATTTCAGTCCAGTTGTTAATGAGTTATATGTTCTATTAAGCTGGTATCAAATGCTGTTTATTGAATCATTCTTCTTGCAATATGGTACTTTATATTTTTATCCTATTTAGTAAAATTAATCAACAGCTGTGCCCCTTATGTTGATTATTCTTTTTCTCTATTAAGTTCAGGAGGTTAATGAGTGCATTGAAAAGCCTGAATCTGGTATATAAGATGGGAAGGAACAGCTAATTCAATCAACTGCATACCCCTGAAAATGTTACAGCTATATTAAGAAACGTACCTATTAATAACCTGATATTTAACACCTCCGTTCCATATCATAATGGTCCATATGGACATCACAAACTTTCAAAAGCACTTAATTTGTTTGATCTAGTATTTCAAACATGAAAGCTCAATTTATCAAACTCCATTCCCTGCTCCCCATCCAAATAAGTATCTCATTGTTTAACGGGTCAAATCCAAGTCTCAGTTAGTCAGTGGAATAACCGGCTTTAATGGGAAGTTGGACCAAGCCCCAGTTTGGGAAACTGTGGAATTGAAGTCCATCTCCACATGTAAAGCAGCATCTGCCTGACTCATTTCCTCTTGTTTTCTGCTGGGAAAACGGACACCTTTTAGACTGAGCCCACAAGATACTGAGCACCTCAACTCAATGAGAAGTGAGGTCACTCTACCAGGAGGTGCTCAGCTGGTAGAAGAATCAGGCCAAATCTCAGTAGGATGGGAATGTCACAGTCGACCAAGAATACAAGCATAGGATGTTTGGCCCCAGTGCCCCCAAAGAGCTGGCTTTTAATCAAAGTGGATAAAATAATATTAGTAACAATAATATAACCAAAGCCATCTATTCAACCTTTCATCTTCAAAGCGCATTGCAAGCATTAACTAACTGTTGCTAAAACTAACGACTGGAGTTTACAGCAGTGGGCAGAGAGCTGGGCATGCAATTCTCATTATTGCTAATTCTCCCCTAAGTATTGAGAGGTTAGGTCCAAGGAACCAAATTCCATTAATAACTAAAGCTGCCACTTCGCATCCATCAGCATCAAATATTAATAGACTCACAAGGGCCCCAGCATTTATCTTCCCAGATGGCAGTTCAATAATATGTCTTGTTTTCTGTTCACTGGTGAGGTGGAGATTTCCTTCCCCACAAAACAGTTACTGTGAAATGTAAGGAGAGATTAAAAGCACGCCAAGGCCTTCAGTGCCTGGTGTTCTATTATCAAGCTCTGGATCCTTAAAAAAGTAAGCATTTTTCCTGGATTACAGCTAGCCTGAGCAGTGTGAATAAGCATGTCGGTTTCTGTTAGATGCGTGCTCTTGCTATATGTTAAATAATGGCCGTCTCATTTTAAGGTCTTGTTCCAAAGCTCAGTAGCAAGACTTTGGCTGTCTTCACTGCCCTTTGGCTCAAGCTCTGAGATCGCTAAAATACAGCTCTTTCAAAGACAAAACATACTGGAAACTGTACTGGGCATTCTGATATGAACTGTGATTCCAGCAAGGGGCAGGAAGGAGAGGCTGTGGCCATAATGGATCTCTTTTGAATTGTGAATGTTGAAAAGAGAGGAAATTAAAACTTTGAAAGGTGGAGAAAATCTATTGGGAGACATTTGCACCGTACAGCCAAATCCTGGTTCCACTGAAGTCACTGGCAAAACAGAAAATCAATTTTTCATGGCTTCCGCAATGCAGAAGGCTAACGGAGTTGTTATTGAACTTGGCTTTAAGTTTGCATTATAAAAACCTATGTGACTGGCTTGTGTAAGTGTTCTTAAAGTCTAATTCCACAAGGTGCTAAGAGTCTTCAATTCCCGTACCCCTGCTCAAGTCAACAGGAACTCAGGATGTGTGATATCTACGTCTTAGATCCTGGGTGAAACTGTCCCTCATCTAACTAATTAGGCATTTTTTAAATAAAAAGATATGTAGAA